GCTGCAGCGTCACAGTGTCAAACAGACATGAGAATGCTATCAATCTGCTCATCTGACACTCGGCAATAAAGCAAGAGTTTTTCTTTTAGTATTAAGTATTCTTTTAAAATGTGCACAGACTTTCAAACTTAGAAGCAAGATTCACTGAATATCTATTTGACCTTGAAAAAGCCCTAAATAATAATTCTGTAAAAAAAAATTCAAGTGATGTAGAGGGGTATTTAAAGTACTCCATGTCCTTCGTTTTCCACTTCCACTTTTCTTCTACGGTGACCCTGTATAAATGCACTCAGAAGGTTTCGCTGGTGACCTATCAACTCATTTCCTCTTCCCCAGCGAATCAAAAGCTCTCTCACCTCGCCGTCTTCCCATTGTTGCATCTTGTAATGTACAGAACAAGATCCCACAGACCCTAAAAATACATAAATAACACACATCAAAGCATTGTGCCGGAAAATGGCAGAATATTGGTGTGTCATGTATCCATCACGGCCTGTGACTATTGCAGGGTCATTTGACCCGAGAACGAATGCAGACTGTACCCTTTCCCGCTGAAGACAAAGACCAAATGTTAGTGGGTTGTTTGTCCAGTGTGAAAAGGGCTTTAGTCTTGTTAAGTATGCATACTGATTTGATTGAATATTCATCACCTTTCTAGTAGAAAAGTACTCCACACCTGCTTAGAGTTAATATGCAGTAGGACTTTGGAACACTTAATTGTCATTGTAACCGCCAGTGGCAGAAGAGTAGAGAAAAGAGCAGCACCCACACAAAGTCAAATATTTTTAGAATAAAACCTTAAAAAATAAAGGCAGCACATACTGCCCACACTGTTTGACTGACTAGTAAACGCTGAGAAGTTCAATGGATAAATAGAACAGCAACAAGCACTTAGCAACAAACACTGAAACAAGGAGATTTAAACACTGAGGGTGCTGATAGAGTGTGCGTACAGACTGAAAGAACAGCATGCAGTACATTGATTGTGCTGAATATAAAGACTTGCAGTATTTCAGTAAATCAGACTCCCCACATAGACTTTACAGTTTGTTCCACTTTAGTTTTGTGTCGACTCTGACCACAGCAGAGCACCACGTCTCGTCTTTCCCTGAGGCTTGCTGGTGTTCAGTGGCAGTGTAAGTCAATATTGGCTCAGTCTCCACAAGGCTGCTGGACCAAACTCAAAATCAGTGTATTCCAGTGTGGGATGGAAATGTTGCAGCAGGGTGAGAAGTCTCCTAAAATGGCACCACACAAGTGAGAAGAAACAGTGGAGTTGCAGCTTTACTGCACAACAAAGCACACAAAGGGCTGACCCGAAGGCAGCGGGGTTGTGTGAGGGACACAGGTTTGTATTAGTGCACTGATGCACACAAAACACACACACTGCATACACACAGACCCTCACAAACAGCCAAACCCTGAGGGCAGATCTCATCAAGGTCGTGTCTGTTTGCTTCTCTGTGTTGTCAGTCTCACATTTTAACACTGGAGAGTAAATCACAAGGCTCTCACAAGGGTCCTCTCGTATTGTTCGTCATTTCATTGGCTGTAGAACAGAAGAGTTCACCGTAGGTTGTGATTTTGCACAGCAGCTTGCAGACATTGATACATTTCTACTCATCCTGTGACTGCTTTGTTAGGGTTAGCTACTGTACAGTATTAGGCTGCTGTCACCAACCTATTACTGGATAATTCCTGTTTATTATAACTTACTTTCACAGTTATGATCATCATTCATATCCGTAATGATAATTTTACTGAATTTCATCGCTGAAATCTGGGAATTTAGCTACATTGCTTATAATATATCAGACATGTAGAAGAAGGGTATGGAACAAGACCTGTGACCTGCCTTTAAACACATCCCAGGTTAGGTGAACTTATCCGGAAGAGAAAACTAATGAAAAAAGTCTGTTTACTATAAACACAGGTGGGAAAGATAGTCTGTATTCTTCTCTGTATTCGTATCCCAAGTCAAGACCAACAAGCCCCGAGTCAAAATCCAAAATGTGTGTTTCCAGTCGTAAACAAGTCATCATGCACACTTCACCTAATCTCTATAAACAGATATGTGCATTTAAATGCAGAATCTGTTGGCAAGGGACCAAGATTTTGGCATCAGAAGCGTCCTGGTTTTCGTTTGTAGTCCGAGTAGTAATCACCGATCACATTTGGTTGCGCATTGGTTGCATGCAGGTAAACAGTCTGTGTGGAGAGATAAAGGGGCCGAAAGTATTGGCCGAAATGTAATCTCGGAACCCATCGGCGATATGGTCTCACAGCGATTTAGCTTTTTATTCGTTTTTGAAAAACCTATCTGCATTCATTTGCAGATATCTGTTTAGAGATTAGCTTAAACGTGTTTTCGTCATTCTCATGTGTAAAGTGCCTGATCGGACTGCGAAGGAAGTCTTGGCCCAAATATCCATTATCTGTCTACACCAAAGCCCCGAAACATTGGTTGTTGCCCCAAGAGGCAAAATTATCATCAGTTGCAAGCAAATGGGTACAGAGATTGCTTTTCACACAAAAAAAGCTGAAAATTAATTGTTAACTATTTGGTTTATCAACAACTTGGGTATGTCAAAAGAAAAAGAAAAATGTCAAACATTCACTGACTCTTGTCTTTTCAAATGTGAATATTTGCTTATTTAGTGCTATACAGGAGAGGTTATCAGCCTGGGAGTATGAGGTCCTTGAGGGGGTTCCAGGGGTTTTGGAATAACTAAATCCTATCAGACGGTGGTCCCTGAGACTATACCTAATCAAGTATACAAAGAGTCCAAGTCATGTGACGACTGACTGCTATTTCAACTCTACTGTACAGTGTTTTCTTGTTCAATGAAGGATTATTACAGACGTTCTCAGTTTCACTTTCAAATGAAGTGGTGAAATAAGATATTGGTTGGTTGTCTAAAACCGGACTGCTCCTCAGACTGGGGAAGTAACCCTGTCAGACTTCATTATAGCGGTATCTCTTGTGTTCCCGATCGATCGGAATCAGAATGAGATTGAACTTTATTTGCCAAGTATGTTGACAGATACAAGGAATAAAACTTTCCAGAAGCTCTTAATGCAATAATACATTATGGTGTACATAAATTATCATAGTAATATGAGCTAAAACTATGCAAACAAGACCAGAGTTGTAATTAATGTGGAATTTTCCTTTTTGTGTGCTTCTGGCTTTAGAGCCGATTAAATAGGAATTAAACCTTAATTTAAAGATTCCCTACAGAATCAATGACATCCCCATAAGCTTCAGCTGTTCTTTGTATGTGCACTGGTGGCTTCACGTTTCTACATCACACTGTACAAGTTGCATACTGGACCAGGACTGACTTCCAAACTGTTTGTGATGTCACAAACCATGCTGGTAGGCCCTGCCCCTTAAAATCAGATTTTCACAAATGCATCATTCTGCACAGTGCAGATCAAACATCCAACTAGAACACAGATTGTTGTGGCGCGGAGGGGGGCTTTATTTAACTACTTAACTGTGCAAAAGACCAGAAAAAGTAGAATATGTGTACAGTCTGTGAATACAGGCATTTCATTTATTACAAATCTCTTGAGCAGATGTCCTACAGGGTGGAATTTCCCTAAACCACAGGCATGTCCTGAGACATTCCTAACTCCAACTAATGATTTTAATGTTTTTGGCAGAGCTTGGACAGTATGTGGTGTAGGCCTTCATCTCTGATGATTCTGGCTGTACATTTCAGTTTATCCCTGTAGTCATTAAGACTAGTTGTTTGTTTCACTTGATATTTATGTGTTTTCACATCAACACAGGCACTAAATGTGGGTTTCATCTGTTTTCATACTGATAACTCTATGAGATTAACAGACTGAGATCCAGAAGCAGATCACCCTCGCTGGGATGATGAGCCAACACTGTGCTTGTTTCAACATGAGCTACAGAGGAAATCAATGCTGACTGATCAAAAGCTGAAAGTTTGTTTTGGCCACAGTCTTTTGTCTAATCTTTATTCCAAATCACAGTCCACTGAAAGGGCGACGGTTCTTAAGAAAAGAAGAAATTGTGATCATGCTGCTTATAACAAATGCTTTCTGAGTTAGTAGTTCCCTTCAAATCATAGTTTTCATTTCATTTTCATTGTAGCTAATATTTTTGCAGCTGTACTAGGGCTGCAAAATAATTGAAACATTATCAAAATTGCAAAATGGCCAAGTGCAATATCCAAACTGCAGAAGCTGCAATTTTTTGATAAAGGTAAAATGTATGACAAACAGCATTATAATGAAGTACTGTAGTGCTGCAGAGATACCCTGACCTACAAATCTTGTTCTCCAGATTTAAGAAAACTCGTGGTTTAGTAAATACCACATAAAATGTCATATCATCATGATTTAAATAGTCTTAAATAATTTGTGATGCAAAAATGATAATTCCCGCGAGTCGTGAATCATATCGCAATCTCATTATCTGTCAAAAAAATCTCAGTATGATGTTTTACTATATCATTCAGCACTAATCTTTACCAAGACAAGCACCGTCTTTTTTGGAGAATACAAAAGCCCCTACAAGGAACTGTCTTTTTGTGTTGATTCTGGTGGCCCCTGTGGACAAAGCACTAGTGTTTTCACCATCTCGTTTCATTGATTTCAGGTGGACTGACTGAATCCGACCCGGTGGCCAGCATTAAGAACAACTATATGGAAATAGCCAGTCTTCTGGCTGATGGTCTTGTTTGTTTCAGGTCATACAGAGGCATCAGTATTAAATTGAGACCAGTTAAAAACTCCTTCTAGTGCTTTTAACGCTTAATAAAATTATAGATTAAATATTCCTCTCAGGATGCATACGATATCCACCAGGGAAGGTTGAGTGCAGCCTGTATGTAGCTGAGAAAAAAAGTAGAATTTTGCCCAATTTTCCAACTGGAAATGAACCCTTTGTGTCCATAGCTTCAACAGCAACAAATACCAGCCATAGCTCACTGTTTTTGTGTGTTCTTCGTGTGTTGGTGCAGGTCAACGACCGGCTGGACCGGTACTGCTGCGGTTTCACACCTGATCCAACAGAACTCTGCGTGGAGAACCTGCTGCACGGCAAGTGTGGCAACACGAAGGACCTGCTGCTGGTTCACATCCTGGTACGTATCACAGACAGCGCTGGTGTTATTTCAACTCTACAGTCAACCTTTTTCCCTGTGCCATTCTCATGATTTATGTCCTGAAACACTACAAGGCCTTTGGGGTGTTTTCTCTTTATTTGCAGTAACAGCACTAAGACTAATGACTTACTCTCAGTCAAAGGACAAGTTTACTGATCTGTGCTTTGATTGATGTGCTGGTGTAAATAAAAAAAAAGGTTTTTCTCCTGCTGTGCCAAATTGTTGTTTGATATGAAAACTTAAAATTTAACTGTTTTTGTGATTGTCATATCATTAGTCATCATATCAGAGGAAATGAAGTAAATGAAGTCCACCCCGGCTGCCTTGTTTGTTTTTTTGTTGCACAAACATTTCGGTACTCCCCTTCCTCCATGGCAACATAGGAGAAAGGCTCTATATTTAAATATTACAGCAGAAGCAAATGTTATACTCAAGGTAGTGTTGATATATCTAGCGATGAGCTCTCTCATTCGTTAGGTGCCAGATGCTGATTATGTTACAAGTTGTTTGTATTGTTCATTACAATATGTAAAAATACATCAAGCTGTTGTGTGAAAATCACAGCAGGAGCTCTTTTTCATTCTGCAGTTGACTTAAAGGTTCCACCATCACTTGGAAGCCTCAGTGGAAACATTTATTATGGCTGTTTTTGTCATATGTATGAGGTTGTTATTTGAATAATCTTATTCCAAGCTGGTTTTGCCGTGCACTTAATGTTCAAACCACAGGACAGCAGTTTGATTTGTCTTGTAGAAAAAGCACAGGTGTTACTAATAACATTAAAGATGGTTCTGTGCTATTAAAGTGTCCCAGTAAGCCATTACAGTGTGACAGAGCCAGCAGGACCTTGACACTGAAGCAGCAAAATGGAATTCAACCGCCATTCATTTTATTTTTTACACCTGTGCTTTTCCTGCTGTGAGATGTCAAAATGTCTTCCTAAGACCTATTAAGATTGGCCTATTTTTATCCAAAATGATTCTCTGCTTGTAATTACAAAGCCTGGCAGGAGAGAAAAAGCTCATCTGTGTGTACAAATTAACAAATTGTGCTCTCAAATTAATAATGAATGCACACAAACTACTAAATAGTGCTCTTAAATTATTATGTTGTGCATGCACATAGCATTTTGTTAATTTTTTATATATATATATTTAAGAAGAATAAATAATGTTAAAGTCATTTATTGTTTTTTTTAGCACCTTGAAGGCAAAAAGCTATAACACACCACACTGACAAACCATCACCTCATAAAGTTGATGTGGGGACCATGTTAGCAAATCTGTTGTCACCATGTCCCAGGGCAAAAGTGTTTATAGTTGTTCCAGATAAAGAGAGAGAAGTTCAAACACTGGCTCCTTTTCTCACCTCCACATTACAGAAATTGTTAATTCCAACGACAGAAAGGTATGGGGGGAGGGGATTTCTGAAACTCTTGTTCACATGTTCTTGGGCAAGATGCTGAACCCCAAATTGCTTCTGTTGGTCAGGCCGGCACCTTGCATCAGCTTCTGATTGGTCGACAGACTCAACCCAAGGCATCATGGGATTGCCAATGGATGGCTTACAACTGTGCTGAACGACAATGATTTTCAACACGGAACAAATAATAAATAATCACAGAAGACATGCAGTGTTATTTTATTTGACCAACTGTAAATGCTGAATATGCAATATGAAATCTATCTGCACTGAAACTTTTTGAGATGGTTAATGAGAAAAAGAATATTCATGGAACAAATTTTAGTATAAAGGTGCTATAGTTTAAAAACATTTTTATTGCAATCCAATGGATTAATTACAGAATTAATATTAACAAAATTGCCATGTCATTTATGTTTAGTAACTTACTACATTTAAAAGTAATCTGACCCAATCCTGCATGTTCATGGACACACTGTCCGATACAGTATCACATATAAAAAGTCTGCACTGGTCTGCAGTGCTGACCAGCTTGGTATTTACCTCTGTGTAGCTAAATGCAGAGCAAAATAAACCGTAAAAGATGTGAAACCATGGAAAATCTTCCCCATCTTGGATTAAATGCAGTGTAGTTGTCTTCATTTGACATCCTTTAAATATTCTGTCATGTTGCAATGTCATCTTTGTTTAACTAAATTCATGTGCAGAAATGAATAATCAGATAGAAGCATTTTTTAAATTTGTGAATACAAATTAGATCTTCCATAACTTTACTTTAAATTACAAAGTTATTTCAGTTTTATGCATCCCATCGATAATATTTAAATTGCAATGTTTGCTTTAATTTGCATTATTCATAATAGAAAAAGATAAGAGTGCTACAAAGATTAAAAAGTGATAAATAAATTAAATTAAAATAGTAAAAACTACATTTCGAACTGTGCCTATGTGTAACCTGTGTTACCTCCTGACAGTGTGTGTGTGTGTGTGTGTGTGTGTGTTTGTGTGCAGGTGAGGAAGGCAGATCCCTCCAGACTGGTGTTCATAGACAACGCTGGCAGGCCACAACAGGCCAATAACAACCTCAACTTCAGGCTGGTTGAGGGCATTGATGAGTGAGTACAAAGCACAGTTTTAAAGCAGGAGGATGCAGGAGTTATTTTTTGCTCCATTCTGGCACCCGGGCCCTATAAATTACACCACACAGAGTCCGAGGCTTATTTGGGCTCACAGCAGGCGCAAACACTGATGTGAGGAAATGTTTCAGGAGAAAATAAAACACATCTAACAACATATTTCCCTGGTGATCGGCACTCAAATCAGCAGCACAGAAACGTTCAGTGGAAGCTTGTTAGGGTTTTGTTACAATGTCTGTCTGATTAGATTAGTGTGCATTCAATTAGCCTGCTATTCAATATGCTGAATGAATCAGGTCTGATAGAAATTCCCCTTTGTCTGTCACTTAGGATTACTAAGCCCCGCTATAAAATGCTCTTAAATATCTTAAGCCAGGACGTGAAACTGAATGAAAATGGAATGTTAAAGTCTTGTATTATTTCTCATCACTGAATAATATAGAGCAAAATAAAAGAAAATTTGTTTTTTTTCCCAGAGGTGAAGTCTGACTCATTTCAATTGCTTCTTAATCTAACAACTTCTTGGACTGCCTTTTTATCCAATCTATGAATAAATATATAGAAATCTGTTAGCATGGACTGAGAAGGAGCCATTCACAGTTACTGTGCATGATGGATGAAATCATTTACAAGCAGCATTTCAGAGTCATGGTAAATAACTTATAGGGAAGGTTTTGAATACTTGAAGCAAACTGCATGTTATACCTGCAGAGTGAGTAATCTTAGGCATCCAGTGTTCTGCATGTGAAAGTTCCATTCATTTTCTGCATTGACAGTTTGAGGTTACTGGAAGTTGGAGCTCTTCCAAGGCTTGAATGGACAGGCCTTGGGCTACGGTCACACTGCAGGTCTTAATGCTCAATTCCGATTTTTTGCTGAGATCCGATCCGGCGCAGAATTGTGAAGTCTGTCTCACTTGACGTAAAAGTCGGATGAAAAGCAGAATGACCGTTCAGACTGAGGTCGCTTTGAAAATCATCAGATATGTATCCGATTTAGGACCACGTATGAAAGTGGCCTGGATCGGATTTGAAAAAATCGGATTTGTGCTGTTCAGACTATCATAAAAAAAATCCGATATGGGTCACATATGGGCAAAAAAGTCAGATTTGGGCCACTTTTGCCTGCAGTCTGAACATATCCTTGGTCTTTATTAAATCTTCAGTACAAAAGATGACCAATTAAAACATTTGGTTAAAAAGCCAAAGCATTTACACATAAACATTCCTCTTAAGATTTATTTTGGTTAGAAAATCCAATCAAATTCTCTTATGTGCTCCACCAATGGCAAGCAAGGTTGCATATTGTAAAAACCAGCAGTTTAAATGACTTCACTTTTTGTTTGAATTCAGTAACTATGACAGAATATTTTGAGTATTATTTTGTTCCAAATTTGCACCATCTCTAGTTTGTGCCTCTGATTGGCTTCTGCCCAAAGCAACAGCATCTGTGGCCGTGGTATCCAAGTATTCAGAGCCATTTGCCATAGCAAACCTTAAGTATTATTACATTATACTACAGAAGGAGTAGGGATGTGCTAGTCGGTTAAATGTTTTTAATCTCGCTAGTCGACACCAGAAATACTAGTGGTATAAACTAATTATTATATAAGGGTTAATGCCTGACGTGGTGTCCATTATCAGGAATTAATGACGACATGGAGGCCAGAACCAGTTGCCTACGCAAATTAATTCCTGATTATGGACACCACGAAGGGCATTAACCCACTTATACCATGGTCACTTGCCAAACAAAAAAAATTAAGATGATTATTTCATGTTTTCATGAATTTAAAAATCTAAAGTTGTTATACTAGCCATAACTCCGTTTCCTTGGTAATGCCTAAGGTGCTTCTTAATACCTGGGAAAATCATTAACATCATTGTTACAGTCTCCATCCTCTGGTGATCATTTTGTTTTCATTCAATTCATTTCAGCACATTAACATTAAGAACAGTAAACATACAGTTTCACTGGAACTACTACGTAGGTGTCGTACATCAGGTATTAATGGACACCCAGCAGCCAGTATCGAGAATACTACTAGCCAGGGATCCAGCCCTAGCAGGTGGCAGAAAGTTAGTGTCTATGTGTTGCCCATTTCAGTAGTATCCCAACACTTTTGGGATAGATACGATTTGGCCCATCTAACCCTGACCCACACTCAGAGGTGAGACAATGAGCCTGCTGTCATAGAGAGGGTCAAAGTGCAATGAATTCTACAAATGGGTTTAACAGCGCACATTTTCAGACCTCCTAGTATCACCCATACACTTATTATCTCATGGCCTTTCTTCCAGTACTAGACAAACTTTACATCTTTAATTGTGAAGCACTTTCAAAATGTTGCACAAATATACCATAAATAAACCGTTTTAAAGTGTACCTGAAAAGTCCACCATGTTGGACCACCATGTTTCTACAGAACAGTCAAACCAAACCTGGCTGAAGATAGAACCTTTCACAATTTTGTGTCCACCGTAGTTAATGCTTTGAAGTCTGAGCAGTATTCAAATGGCTGCAGTCTGCAACTTCACTGCTAGAGTCTATTAAATCCTACACACTGATCCTTTAATATTAGCCCAGTTTTAGCAATGCTAATGATAAGGCACATCTAGAATCAAATCAAATCAAATCAAAATCAAGTTTATTTGTATAGCCCTTTACAATAGCCGAAAGGTACCCAAAGTGCTTTACAACAAAGCCATAAAACAATACATAACACATATATAATATACAAATACAATTTAAAGTGCTGTAGTGCTGCAGCGCTGCAGGGTATTAAAAGCCTTCCAGAAATGCACAGAAAGGAGCAGATAAAAAGAGTACACCTAAGAGACAGTACTGTCCTAGTCAGAATTAAATGCTAATCTAAAAAAGTGGGTCTTAAGCTGCGATTTAAAAAGGCCGAGATCAGTAGTGATGCGAATGTCAGAGGGCAGTTTGTTCCACAGTCTAGGAGCAGCGACGGCAAAAGAACGATCGCCCCACTGTTTAAGTCTGGACCTAGGGACCTCTAACAGAAGCTGACCCGAAGAGCGCAAGGCTCTGCCACAATTGCGAAACGTTAAAATCTCTGACAAGTAAGAGGGGGCCAAGCCATTAATGGTGTTAAAAACAAACAACAAAAGTTTAAAATCAATTCTAAAACGGACTGGAAGCCAGTGGAGTGACGACAGCACAGGAGTAATATGTTCACGTCTGGACGTGCTAGTTAAAAATCGGGCAGCAGCGTTCTGCACAAGTTGGAGACGATAAATTAAGGACTGACTGAGGCCGACGTAAAGGGCATTATAGTAGTCCAGTCTTGAGCTGATGAAAGCATGGATTGCCTTCTCAAGATCCTGCCGACTGAGAAAAGACTTCACTTTGGCCAAAAGACGGAGCTGAAAAAAGCTCGTACTGACAACAGAGCTAATCTGTTTGTCAATTTTGACAAGTGCAACTGGACTTGCTATTTGTTTTATTATGGCATATAGAGAACTCTGAGGGCTGTGACAGAGGCTTTACACATTAGTAGTCTTGTTTTCTAGACTTTGAACAAATCAGTGAAGCTACAGCTGATCAAGTGTAATGCGGTTTCTGTTGTCAGGTTTCCAGAGAGAGCAGTGTCTGTGCTCCAGTCAGACTGTCTGGAGAGTCTTCTTCTACGCTCCCTTTACACAGACAGGGAATTCTGGGAAAGCCAAGGTGGGGCCAGTGGTCTCAGGCCTCTCATCCGCACAGTGGAGCACAGAGGGAAGATTCTCCTCCAGCACATCAGGGACAAGAAAGTACAGCTCAAGAGGGACCTGTGACTGAGGTGACCCGGACCAAACAGAAGTAGAAATGAAACATCATTTGTGACGCTGACTGTCAAGATGACATTTCTGCAATGTAATCGAAGAGAGATCATTCTGCAGCAAGAGGCTCTGAGCAAACAGAAACCTAAAGAGATAAAATGGTGCAGCTATTTCGGGAACAAAAGAAAGACCTTTTTGTTAGGGGTTACAATAAATACAACATCCACAGCCTCATGGTCCATGGACCAATCTATTTCAGAGTGGTGATATTATATTATTATACCTTTTTTTTTATCCCATAAAGAGAGAAGAAAAAAGGTCAGAAATACTCCTATAGCTTCCAAACTTCTGAGTGGGTGGACCAGTTTCCATATTGGATTGACAGCAAAGTTACCTGACACAAAGTGTTCACAGTGTGTGAACAAGGACAATCAAACATTTACTTTTAAGCTGTTAAATGTTCTATAGCTGACTAGCTAAGTAGCTAACTGGCTCACAGTGTACATTTGTTTCCACTGGTGGATGTTTGTTAGCTAATGTTGGTTAGCTCTTCTTGTGTTGGGTGCCAGGACGCTGGCAGCCTTGTCCCCGTCAGCCTCACAGACAGTTGTGATGATTTATGCAAATACGTTTAACATTAAATGATTTGATTGAATATTTGCAAAGAATTCTAAGTAGACAGGACCACAGGCATTCTGACTGGGTAATGCAAATACAGACGACGCTGTCATGGAATCAAAACATATATAAACAAATATATAAAATTCTTCATTTTGGTCATAGATTTGTTTATCCCAAAGGAGAGCTTGAGGAGAGAGTTTAAGAACAATTTCCCACTAAGGTGCCACTTATAACAGGTTCATATGTTGGAACTAATGGCTTTATTAATGGTTAATAAGTCATTTATTTGATCACTTGTAGCCAAGTGGCAACCTCCGTGGCTGGCAAAGCCAACATTGAAGTAACAAAAACTGCAGTTCCTCTAATGCCCACTTGAGGCTGGCTCCAGAAGTGGTTCAGTCTCCATAAGGCCCCATATTAAAATGCCCAGAAATATGTTTACAGCCTGGTACACAAATCGTTTGGTCTCTAAAGCTAATTTCCACATTCATGATAACTGTACAGGGAGGGATCTTTCTATAAGTCATCGTTTAAAGTTATGCATAATTAAGGGTATGACCACTTTGATTGACAGGT